TATTAACTTCGCCGCGTCATCTCGCAACTCATACAGATGAAGGATGAAAAATTAAGAATTAAAATCAAATAAAGTATAGTGCAAGTCGATAAATAAGATAAAAGTGACATACAGAGTTCTTCAGTCAAAATTCATATCTAATATATCTTTTCTTATCGTAAATTTTTCTTAGCTGGACATACGAGATTATCAGACGTATAAAAAATGATAATATATTAAAAATATCTTTTATATATTTTTTTAATTTTTAATATAAGAATATTCCAAATTTTTTTTTCTGTTGCATTCTATTTACTCTTCCTTACGTACGTCACTTATTGTTAGTCAAGCAGCTATGTCAAAATTCAGGATCCACGACAGAGATCCCGAATTCAATTGCAGGGATGCGTAGATGAAAGGGCGACTTACTTGAACGCCTCTCATTTAAGCGAGGCGGAAAATCGGGGGGCACCGCGACAGAAAAATAACTCCTAAACGAGGCGGGTGCGACGACATCGGCGCGAATTTTCAGAATGCTGCAATCGGCATGAATGGGGATTAATTGATGGCTCCCCCATCCCGGTCGTCGTTCGTGCCTCTCGCCGGGAGATTTTACAAATTTTCATTACACGCGAGCCAGTCGGCACAGGCGGTGGACGAATGGCGAACGAAAGGTTCGCGAAAAAGCGTTGAGGACGCGCAATCTCGATTACTCGCTCCCGAGGACGAGCACAGGACAAACTCATTTCGGCATAACAAATTATTCGGGAAAATGGCGGGAATTGTGCGAGAGCGACTAACAAGAAAATAATTTGGTGTCGCGCGTTTTACACGACTCCCCGAATTGTACGGAGATTTTCGTGCGAACTCGGCGCAAAATTTATTCGCGGATTAATGAAGAAAATGTGTACTTTTAAATATGCATCTGAATTATAACGTCTAAATATTTAACGTCTGAAAATTCCGATAATTTACTCGTCTTCTCTCTAATTATAATAAAAACTCTCTATTCTTTAATCATTTATATTTAAACTTTGTCACATCATATTTCGATAATTTGATGCAATTTCGATGATTATATCTTTTCTGATTTTGAAAAAATATTATAGCATTGTGATAGAAAATATGATTAACATTTTTAAAATTGAGAGAAATGTAAAATATAAATTTATACATTTATGTATATATATTATACGAAGTAATATTATATTTCCATGTGAGGCTTGTATGTGTGCTTTAAGTATTTACAAATTATTCGAAGTATAATTAAGATTATAATAATATTATAATTACATATATAAAATATTGCGCTTGGATTTGAAAGAAAAAAATTGAGAAAAATAAAAAAAGATTTTTGAAAAAAACATTACTCATCTAAAATAATAGTGTCAAATATTTTGCCGTAAAATATTACTTATGTATATTTCTATGAACTTTTCAAAATAACACTTTTGTGAAATTGCTTTGTGAGAGAACTAAATAAAAAAAATTGCATAGATTACAAGATACATGTTATCTAAGGTAAAAAATATTATTTAAGAACGCAGTAAATGAAAGTGAAAGTCAAATTTTAGATTGTTTAAAATTGCAATGTTAAAAATTATGTGACACAAAGTCTGTAAAACCTCGAGAAATCCTATTTTCTCGACGATACAGATACTCATCGAGAGTGTAACCTTTGATATCAGGATCTGGAGACGAACCAAAACATCGAGTTCATCGATACCCATGAATATTGATCAGCTATCGATTAGAACGCCTTTTCGCCTGAGGCAAAGGATCGTCTATACGATCCGATGAAGAAAAAGTTCGACGAGGTGTAATGAGTCGTAGCGTACTTTTTACAATTCTTTTTATAGAGCCCGTTCAATATAAAACCGCGTTAATTGGATGAAAATAAAGGCGAGAAAAATGGATTATATAATATAATGTATCGCGTTCATAATTCGCGCATGATACAAATCGCCAAGAAGCACTTGAAATGATTCAAGATGACAGAAAGAGTTTCCTCCGACACGACGTTGAAGTATAAATAGACTTAGCCGCGTAAAATGTTATCGTTTAGCTTTATTCATTTCGCGAGGATAGCACGAAGCGCTTGTACACATTGTTGTTGCGGTAATCTTTTTCCTTTCTTTGAAAGAACAAACGGATTTAGTCGTGTAAGGATTCAATTATGTTCTTTCACGAAGATGAGGGAGAATTTCTTAAGGTAAAAGCGCGGTCGCGTAATTGCTTTCTTTGCGTATCGACTTCTGTGATTTTAGTCTCGAGTTCGCGGGTAATTCTGAAAAGATCGCGTTAAGAATATTCCATTTTTATTATACGCAATTATTACATTTATTTCATATACATATAATATACATATATATATATATATATATATATATACAGTTGCAACATTTAGTTTTCCGGTGTCATAATTACCTCCGCATTGCGTTGCGCTTTTATGTTTTATTCATAAAGATACGATAATTGAAAATGTAATTCAGGAAAGAGATAATATCATTTTACGTCGCATGCCGGTTATTTCATAAAGTAAACTCGATAATCACCGATCCGTGATCACAATCCGATATTTTTATTATAGTCGATATAAAAAATATATTTATTTCATAAAACGTGTTACATGGCAAAAAGCTACATTCATTTGCATAATTGCATCGGTAAACGGCTCCTGCTTACGTTTAGTACAATGTATGACTAAAGATACTAAAAAACATATGTTTTATATTACTAGTTGTATTATTGTTTTTATTAGCGCGTTTCGGTGAAAAATTATCCTGTTTTTTTTTTTTTGTTTACACGTATTATTTATCGCTTACAGTTCACGTTTTAAATCGGTACTTATTCAACGCGAAGATATAAAAATTATTGAGGGGAAACGTCGCATGCCGGTTATTTCATAAAGTAAACTCGATAATCACCGATCCGTGATCACAATCCGATATTTTTATTATAGTCGATATAAAAAATATATTTATTTCATAAAACGTGTTACATGGCAAAAAGCTACATTCATTTGCATAATTGCATCGGTAAACGGCTCCTGCTTACGTTTAGTACAATGTATGACTAAAGATACTAAAAAACATATGTTTTATATTACTAGTTGTATTATTGTTTTTATTAGCGCGTTTCGGTGAAAAATTATCCTGTTTTTTTTTTTTGTTTACACGTATTATTTATCGCTTACAGTTCACGTTTTAAATCGGTACTTATTCAACGCGAAGATATAAAAATTATTGATGAGGGGAAAGTTTTTAAATTATCGAATGAGTGTGGAGAGCGAACCCTCTATATACTGATATCTTCTTCCATTTAAGATCGCAATAAAGAGACAAAAATGCGCCAGGCAAACGGCGCCATTCCGATCCTCGTGCAACTACGTCGTTGTCGTTTCAGCACCTTCTTGGACGACCGGCGACTCTTAGGTTCATGAAGTGCTCGAAATACACTTTGCAGTTCTTACACGTAGAAATATACATATGTACCCGTGAGTGTGCGAGCGACGATATAAGACCGGGCGATAAGGCCGTTTCAGCAAAGCACTATCGCCGTCGTAACCGTTTTCGTAGGCTAACACACTACGACCTGTGTAAGTAATCTTCGCATACAATTGCTTCGCCGGCGAAATAGACGATAATGACGAGTACCCCATATAAGAAGAGGCGCATCTAACTAGTTGCATTTATCCGCGATTCCTTCTTATTTCGTGAAATTAATTAAAATTTTAAAATCCGGTAAAATATATTCAGGAATCTCTCATTTTCTGGCAATTACCTTGATTTTTAAAAATTTTGATATATTTAAAACATATCTTTATATGTGTATGTAATTTTAAAATTTCTGCAATTTATGATCTTTGTACGATAGTAATTTTTGTATTTTTTTAAATCTTGATTTAAAAGTGATGGTTTATATTTAAATATTAAAATATTATCTGGCATATAATAAAGATTTCATTAAATATTCTGTCAAATAAATAATACTCTTTATTAATTTCCAATTTTATTTTTGAAAGGAAATAAAACTCTCGAACGAGATTTGAACGCGTCGAAGCAATGATATTTACACACTGATAGGGAACAACCGAACGATAACGAGCGCGAAAATTGTTTCCGCCAACTAATACATGCATGTAGATGGTGTGTCCGCGCCGCGAGTAATTAATTTACGAACGCAAGATAAAAATGGTTTATTAAATGCCATCCCAAATGATTTGTCGCTGGCATTCGGCCCGAGAACTTCGGTTGATGCGGTTAACGCGATGAACTGACCGAAATGTTGCAAGTCCTGCATTAAATTGCATGGCGTAGGCAAATTGAAACGGCTTATTTTATTTTAACCGCAGATTGAATTGCGTTAGGTATAATAATACATCGCGGTTTTTAACATGTTTTGCTGTTGTAATCCGGTACACGAGTTATATTAGTATACCATGTACTGATTAAGTTACACGCGAATCATGGCATGTCAAAAAATTGATTTTGCCACTTTGTTTTCCATAACCAGTTTTTGTATCGAATCCGGATATATTTCGCATAAATTCAAACACATATACTGGTTTCAAATCCGTGAGTTGCCAATATTATTTAATATTTAGAAGGATATTTAGTTATCAGAATTTTAATATAATTTAATAAACCTTTCATAATTTTTTTTTTTTATAACATTGCTTTATTGTATTAACGATTGTATCTATTTTTATATATATTAATGATTATATCTTTTTTTATTATACTTATTGCAACTCAATTTGCGGTTAAAATAAGCCGCAATTCAATTTCAATTTGTTTACGGCTAGCAATTTAATACGAAAATCAAATTTATATTTTATTAGAAAATCATATATTTAAAAAGTTTAGATTTATATATATGTATATATGGAAAGAAAAGTTAAAAAAATTGGAAAATGTTCGTAAAAAAAGGGCGCGCGTAGCGCGCGCCTGTGTTATTCTAGTATGTATAAAAATATAAAAAACTTTTATGTTCCGTAATACTGATATATATAATGTGAGCTTTTGTTTTTCTGTTACAGAAGAGCTATCTTGACGAACCCTGACCTACTGGCGAGCACACCGTGGTACCGGTTGCTTGAGAATGATTTTTGGGGAACACCGCTGACGGAACGTGGCTCGCACGGCAGTTATCGACCGCTTTGCGTGGCCACCTTTCGTCTGAATCATTCTCTTGGTGGCCTTGAACCCTGGGGCTACCATCTGGTGAATGTAGCGTTGCACGCTGCTTGCACCATTCTCGTGGTCAAGGTTGCTAGAAAGGTGAGTGCGACCACTCTTACTTTCTTTGAGATACAAATTTTGAAAGTCTACCTTTTTGAATCAAAATAAGCAATGAATTACGATAGAAATAAAAAAATTTTAGCTGAATGTCTGTGCGAAGACAAAATTACATCGCAACAATCTCTTTCAAATAATATATAAATTTTACTACGAAAGAAGTTAATGGTGACACCTGTAGAGCGTACATCACATGGGAATTTTGATAATATCTGACGATATACATATATAAATATAGTGACTGTCAGAAATATTATAAAATTTTAAAAGTTTGCCCGTTGCTGAAGTATTATCGTTAACTATATTTTTATACTGGAATAATGATCGACATATTAACAGGTTAACATTAAAAGTCTGAGATATATTTAAGTGATAAATTTACCATTAAAAAAATTATTAACCAATTTTATTTATTTTCGTTTTTTATTCGTGTAAATTGTTTTTATTATTTGCAATACAAGAGAGCAATCTTTTCTAAACTTATCAAAATTTAGATATCTATTTTCAATTTCATCAGATTTATTTCTTCTTCCACAATTTACATCACATCAATATTTATCGAGTCATTATTGTTCTAACTTGCGTGATTTCATCGAAAGTAATTAAGAGCACGATTTGCTTCACAGTAAAACGCACATTATAAATTCATCTAATTATTATTAATTAACTCTAGATCCGTTTTATATTTGAAATAAAGCCGCAGAGATCTTTGTTATTTTATCTACCGGAACATATCTCCGGAAAATTGTCGATGGTGGAATTTAAATGAAGACGAAGATTTCGCTTAACTTTGGGACAAGCCTACTGCGTGGTTTTAATTTTACGACGTCGCTTCGTTTTAGTTAACTTGGGATTCCTCTTATTTCGAAGGCGCCGTAGGGCGGTCGTGAAAAGGAACTGTAATGGTGATTCGGCGTAACTGCACGCGAACATCTCGAATAGAACTTCCGGATACGTTGGAAGATCAAAAGAACCGCGACGAGGACCTATCATCCTAATGAGACTTTAATTTTACATCACCTCTTTCGGTCACCGTGTTTAACTTGAAGTATATTTAACTTTAAAGTGGCGCTTTGAAGAATCGCGAAAAATACAATCTAATTACATACATACTAAATTATGTAAAGTTTAATTATAACTGTACTATTTTAAATCATGCAAAAGTGCATCGGAATCGTATAATTTTCGAATACTGCCGTCAAAATGATCACCACGGACGATTACCAAGCGTCGCGTACAAAACTACGAATTGTGCTCTTCTAATTTTTCACATATTTAACATTCCTTTTATATTTTCATCCGCTTATACTTTATCCATCTCTCGAAAACTCCATATTTTTTTATACTAACAATGATGACATAATTGCATCTTTGTCAATATAGATTTTGCTTAGCATTGATATTATATATTTCAATATATATTAATGTATATTAATACCTTGACTTGAAGGCTTCAGAAAAACCCACATGTTATAAAAACGCAAAAAATAGTAAAATTTTTAATATTTTGGTAAGATTGTTAATTAAACTTATTACTCCCCGTTTGTTCGACAGAGAATTAGATTGAAATTCAAGTCAAGCGATCCTTGTAACTGAGTATAGGTAATTAACGGTTAAGTTAATTAACCCCACTCTCGTCGCTTGAAGGATTGCCTCGCGAAACGTTTACATGTGTACCTTACGAGATACCCGCAATTACACTTTGCAGGTGCTGCCAGGAAGGAGCAATCTCGCGCACGCGATCACGGGTTTCCTGTTTGCGGTCCATCCCATTCACAGCGAGGCTGTGGCCGGTATAGTCGGACGTGCCGACCTTCTTGCTTGCTTCCTGACCTTGACATCTTTCCTGACGTACTCAGCCCATTGTAATCGCACGAGATCGCCATTTCCTCTGCTGTTGGCCTTGGTATCATCGACGCTGGCTACCCTCGCCAAAGAGACTGGTATATCGTCTTTGGCTCTCTGTCTTCTGTGGGAGCTCTGTCGCGGCGAGCCAAGTCGAAAAGTAAGTGATTAATAATTTTATTACCGACATCAAGCGTTTTTGATCATCATATGATTCAAAACTGTTTGATTTGCAGCAGCTAAATCAAAAGATGATTAAGGAACATTTTTCGATCTATTTAAGATTTATTTTAAATATGAAATTGTTTTTGAAAAAAATCTTTCCAGATTACAATTTGCACACTTTTGCCATTTTTGTTCTGAAATCTTCGAGTGTTAAATGGATTTGTTTTGAATTAATTGATACAGTCATAAACGTTTTGTTATATAAGTATAAAAAACAGTAATATATTAAAATAAATATACCACAGGAGGATTTGCATCATTATATTCTTATTCCTCAGAATGGTAATATACATATCCGAAATTAAGTTCGGTAAATCCGAATGCAAGAATATAACCGGATTATCTAAATATTTGAATTGCTTATAATTAATATATAATTTTATTTTTTTTTTTTAAATAAATGTTGACATTGAATATTTAAGTAAGCGTGTTTAAATGTTGCAAACTAATACAATGTAAAAGTATCGTGTGAATCGCACGAAACTAGAACTGAACGTGATCTTCATAATAAGATTATTAAGTAGGATTTTCCGAGTCGATATCAGTTTGCGGACGTGTCGCACGATTTGCGTTCCATGATTGTTACGCGCGAGAGCGTCGCGCCGTCGTTTACTCGCGCGTCTCGTCTCGCATTTCGCGGAGCGTGAAAGTTTCGACAGGGAAACAAGGTGGAAGACAGACAGAGCCCCGCGTGCTCACGTACGGATTCGGAGAAGCGTGTAACCGATAACGCAGTACCGTTGCAAGGCACTGCATCCTGCCTTACATTCTGGCGAAGACAGCAAGCTGATGCACACACGGCAAGCCGCCCATCTTCAGGGCGCCTCCACCTTCGGGCGCCTACTGTCGTCACTTATCCTACCTCCCTCCTTCCTCTCGCATCCTCCTCCTCCTCCTCTAGCAATCCCCGAAATCCCCGTTCGCCTTCTCCTTTCGCGCACATTGCATCCGGATGCACCGGACGCCTCGCGTGATGCATGACGTACGCCCGTCTCTCCCCCGTTTACCGACGACGGTGGATTGGAGGGGTGCCAAGAGGATCGTTCGCATCTTCCGACGCCTCTCTGAACGCCATGAGGCTTCTACACGTCCTCCCTTTTTTCTTTTCATTCCCTCTTCTCCCATCTTCGTATATTTCTCTTCTTATTATATTTCCGTCTTTTCCTCGCGTCCGCCGTCTGCTGCATCCCTCTGCGGCATTTACTCCTTTCTCGTTCAGTTCGAAGTATCCACTGTGCAAACCGTTTGCACCGTTTCCCACCAGGATAGCCTGCAGTCGAATGCGATGCGCTTCGGTGGCGAATTAAGGATTAAATTCTAGGAGGAAACTCGAAGCGTAAAAGATAATTTTTTGTGAGGCTTAAAATTTTTAATCAAAATATCTTAACGCAAAATAACATTTGTATTAAATTTGTTTAAATTTATATATATATAATGATTATGAAATAATTATCTTTTTTATTAAATAACAAGTTTAATAATTGATAAAATTTTTAAAAAGAAAGCATTGAGATAGTTTTTTCATACGAATCACAAAGTCTAAAACGAAAACGTCTCGCCATTTCAAAGCGGAAATGTCACCGTTGGTAGCAATACTTTTTCGTTTTCTACTCGCTTTGTTCGGTCGCGCGGAAATATGCGTGGATCGACGGAAACTGCAGCGAAGCCGGGAGACAAACGAGACGTGACGTTCCGCAGATGAGAACTAGAGCTGGGATGGACGCGAGAAGGGCGGCGAGCGGAAATTTATTAAGTTACGATCGAGCTGTCCGGAACGATCGCGAAGTAATTGGAAAAAATCTGATTTTCAGATTATCGATTTGACGGGAGTATCGAACAGGCGGCTGGATATCTCTTCTTGAAATATCACCGCGATGTTTTAAATCTGGCTTTATGACGTTTGTTTCGTTTTGGATGCTTCGTTGGGCATTTTATTGGAGATAAAACAATATCGCCACGAAGCGCAGAAAAGCCACGATAAGTGGTGGAATTACGACAATTATAGCGCACCCTCGATAATCCTCAGTATATTCGTAGCTAATTCCGGTATATCCAGTAGATCCAAGGACGCATCCGGATTATCGAGACGTTGGGACTGCTCATATTTAAATTCATATAATCATATTGTTAAAAAATAAAAATTTTGTTAGAGACATTACACAACGAGTAAAGTTTTCAATATTAAATCGTGGGAAAAAAAGATTTATTTCCATTCGAAACTGGATGTAGGAATCGATTATGTCGAATAATAAAAGATTTGCCATCTGTCCCGGAAATTTTCCGGTGTCGGATTGATTTTCCAGAACAACAGTCGACAAGTAAATTAACATTAATCGCATGATGTTACACGGACTTTGCGAAACATACAGAGCGCCTTATTGTACGTAATACGGATAATTGTCGCTGTCACAGGAAGTCTTTATAGCAAAAGTTTTGTTCAGGAATTAGCGGTTACGGAACCGCCGGCGCGCCGCCGCCCGGATGCAACCGCTCGCATCGCCCGGAAAATTACATCTTACGGTTGTAACGAACTTGGCGGAAGTTTGTACGAAGCGCGACGTATCGTTCGTTTATTAAGGCGGGTTTTAAACTATTCACGGCCATGCCTTGACAAATCTTCTCGTGTATAGTGTCTCCTTTCCTTTGCGATGTTTGAACTCGCGGCGCGCCCAAGAAACTTTGAAATAATATGAAATTGGAATGGTAAGGAGGGGTGAGAGCGGGGGAAAAATGGTAGAATAAGAGGGCAAGGGTAATGCGAAGTAATAAGGCGTATACCGGAAACAACGTGCGGTAAAACGCGGGCGCGACACCGTCCTTAAACACAACGACGTGGCATTCAATTCCGCGTCTAACTTTTTTAACGAACTTTGCGGCGCACTTTGTGCCAGTTCTCATTCCAGTCGTCGGAGATATGAGACGAATGTCTCGGCACTCGGCGAAAGAGCGTAATCGTGCTTAACGTGAATTATAAATTCACCGCAAACTATTATTTCAGCCTGATCCAACTGTCTGTGTAACTTTCGAATCGCGTTTTCAACCATGGTTACCGCGCAGAGAGATTCCATTAAGATTCTTTGCGCGAATTTTGTACAGTTCAATCTAATTTAATAAAAAAATGTTTTTTCTGTGCCTTATTATATTTTTCATCTTATAAAAGAGGATTTGTAATTATTTTTTTATAGACACATGTTATAGAAAGTATCGAGTGAAAGTATCGATCATAATATAAATTTTTTTTCTGTCAAGAATTATTTAATTAATTTTCTCTCTCTATTAACTAAAACTTTAGAATATTTATAAGAATATTTATTTCGTATTACATTAATGAAAATAGCAATACTTAAATAATTAAACTGATTTGTTATTTTCGCTTTATAAATTCGCTAAAGGGACTGTTATAATCGGATTGCTCGCGCAATCTAAAATCTTGCACTGCCATTGTTCAATAACATTTTGCTTGTCCATCGCGAGCGGTGAAGAGCGCAACAAAGCAACTGTTATTCCTTCAGGTTTCGTCAACATGAGCATTGTACGGCGAAACGCGTCTTGTTCGCCGATTCGTCGGACAAACGATTTTCTCCTTTCCATCCGACCGAAACCACCTTCCGGTCGGATGCGATGCCGCGTTCGCCGAAGCAAACATCGTCTCGACGACTGTGAAAGCTTTCATACTTCCAATTCGCTTCTTTTTTCTTTATGTTTATTCATGGGAAAAAAGGAGAGCGCAAGCGCGCCGTAGCAATAGCGGGAACAACGTATACCCGATGAACTGACAACAAAAATAACCGTCGCGTTATTACGGTATCATATTTCCCGAGATACCCCTCGTAATGCGTTTCTACGGTACTTTTATTATTTCTGTACACACCTGCGAGCAACACATGTATCTTGCGCGCACACATGTGTCACAACATAATGTATGTGTGCACATATATGCTATCCTTAGCTAGATTATTTAAAATCTACAACATCGTTCTTTTTATATCACGGTAAAAAAAAAAATGTATTATGAATTAAATTTACGAATCAAATTTATAATCCATCGATTGGACAATTAATTCTCATCTAACACATGTGCATATCTCTCGATTAAGATCTGCTATATATAACTGTCAAAAAGACAATTCAATCTTTCGATTTTAGCTGCTGTAAGTCCTTTAAAATAATTAGATGTTGAAGTTTCTACGTAATGCATGACAGGGCACTGATATATTCCTCCTAATTTAATCTAATCTATATGCGCGACGTATGGTTGTGCAATCCCCAAGCACGGCAATCATCATCCGATGGAGCGTCGGAACTACACGAGCAATGACATATCTGTCAATCGTCGAATTTCAGGGCAATTGCGGATTCACTCGGGGCCGCAGCGTCGGCATTCTGTCGGGCGGTCTGGCACTGCTCGCACTGGGTCGGCTCAGGCTCGTAGGCAACAGGCCCGAATTCGCGAGCGCGGACAATCCGGCGGCGAGGCATCCGTCGCGGCTGACACGCGGCTTGACGTTCCTGTATCTGCCGGCGGCCAGCGCGAGAATGCTGCTGTGCCCGAGCACGTTGAGCTTCGACTGGTCGATGGACGCCGTGCCACGCATAACGAGTCTGTTGGACCCGCGTAATCTAGAATCGGTGTGCCTATACGGCGCCCTGATCGGTGCCGCTTTCTGGGCCGTCAGGGGTCTGCGACGACGTCGGCGTAACTCGTGGACGATGGGTCAGCAGGCGTATTCGACGCGCGCGGCTACGTCGTCCAGGTGTCCCGTGTGCGCCGGTAGACGCACCGGCGGCTGTCATACTGATGGCTGCAGGGCGGCCAATAACAATAACAACAGTCCGCTCGGCGATTGTCATTGTGCCAAGAGGCCGAGCAGCAATTGCGGCGTCAACGTTGGTGGCCGACAAACGGCGGCCACCGCCGTCGCCGTCTCCCTGGGCTTCCTCGTGCTCCCCTTCCTGCCGGCGAGCAATTTGTTCTTCTACGTGGGCTTCGTCATAGCCGAGAGGATACTGTACCTGCCCAGTGTGGGCGCCTGTCTGGTCGTCGGCGCCGCGGTGTCCGGATGCTATCGGATAGCGAGAAGAAACGGGTCCAAAACGCGAGGCAGGGCGGTGCTGCTGGCGACGGCGATCCTCATCGGCTTGATGTCGGCGAAGACGCTCGTGAGAAACGCTGACTGGAGGGATGAGGAGAGCTTGTACAGGTCCGCGCTGCATGTTAATCCGCCGAAAGGTAAGCGATTGATTAATATTAATCGGATATTTAAAAAGAAACGTAAAGGAAGATGAATACATGGCATGCAACGAAGGCCCCGTCTGACCCTACTCTGACTGTTTCTACTGAACCGTGTTTCTCTTCTTCCCCTATCCTCGGATGACTCTCTCTTTAATTTCTTGGGTCTTGTGTATTCTATTGACAATGAACATATATTTTAATTCGCGATTATATCTATATATTGAACAAATTTTAGAATTTATTTATGATAAGGTAAGGTTAAAAGAGAATTTTGATGGAAGCTTTTCTTAAAGTGATTTTATAAAATGATATATGTTCACATGAGACATATCTATGTAGAATACGAAATATTTATAGCAAAATAAATATATCGAAATTTTTATTACATATATAGATTTTATTGATAGAAATTTAACGTTTTTTGTCTTAAAATAAAAATCGCAAAAATATATAACGCGATTTTAATTTTCAATATTGATTAACTACATAAATACTGAAACAATTTTAAATTCTTTTATACGATTGTTTATTACACTGAAAAAATCATCAATTCTCTTTCTTTCTCGTTTCCTTGCTTTCTACATATTTTTCATATTTTTAATCTATCTGACAGAAACGTCTTACGAGCCAGTATGCACGCGCGTTAAAAGCATATGCGAGTTTCTCGTTTCTCCTCATCTGTCGGGAGGGAATTCTCCCTTTAATGCACCCTTCTAATCCGTCCGTACCCTTTTTCACCTTTTATCCACTTTCATACGGCGCTTATCCTCCACGGTGTACTTTTTCGTAATTATTTTAACTTACAATCCCGCGTAACTGCTCCAACTGGCTTTCCTTTCGCTGGCAAGAATTTTTGTTTTGCTTCTATATAAAGCATTTTAGTAGTATATTACCAGAAGCGAGTTTATTATCAGAAACATAGCGAATTTCTGTCGTATATTAATATTTCTTTCTCGTACGATTATTGTCGATTACATACTCAGTTTATTGAAAGTAATATTTGTGACATTTTTCTATCATGTTTATTAAGAATTTATTTTAGAATTGCAAAGAAATACTTATTTCTATTTTTAAGGATAGATTGACAAAGGAAAGACAGATGAATATTTGGTTTTTAAACTCGATACATATGGAGCATCGACGATATAAGTTACTCGGATTCTTCCTTTACATAGGTTTTCTCTTGGAACGCCATCCGTCTTTGCCACTTTTTACACTTTATCCGCTCCATTTACTTTCATGATAATCTAACGATTGATTGCACGATTTAATCTACCGGACAGTAGTTCGTATTAATTGCGCCGCACATCAGCGCTGCGCATCTGTTCCACATCATCGATCGCATTATTTTAAGATTATCTTACCCTAACTTTTATATTATTTATGCACGTTTGTTCGATCAATGGAGGGTTCTAAAGTCAAACTTTGCGCCGACGTCAGCTTTTATCCTATTCAGTCTAATGTTTAAATGAAATGTTTGAATAGAAATCCAGACTATACTAATCATTAGGATTATTTATAATAACGTGTATATACAGAAATAATATATTTCTCTCGTTAGAATCTTAAAGAAGGAAATTCTAATATAAAAAGAAATCTGTCAAGCGTGTTTATCAAGCTTTGATCCAAAAAGCTTACGCTCTTCTCTCTCTCTCTCTCTCTCTTTTTCCCCTTTTCTTATCCGCACATACCCACGTTTTTTAAATTAACAGCTCCCGCCTTATTTCTCCGCGCCCGATATTTTCCAGGCGCTCTCGCGAGAGAGCACAATAATATCGCTCTTTCTCCCAGGATGCTTTCCATTCCCACACACATATCCAATCTCCCGTTGTCCATTTTTTTAAATATCCTCGCAAAGAGAGGAACGGAGAGGAAGGAGAAAAGCCGAGCGAGAAAAAGCGGATAGAAGCGATGCGGTGGAAGCGAGTTAGCGGTCACGCGAGCTGACGCCGACACGACGCCGACGCGCTACTACCGGCGCCAACGGCGACGTCACAACGCGTTTTAATTGCGCCGACAGAAATTGCGTGTTACCGTGTTAACAGGCTGCTCCGCTACGAGAAATAAATTTACATTTTGTTGGTTCAGGTCGCCGACGCGCGCGCGCGCGTATTCGTCGGATATATCCGTGTGCCTTTCCCGCTCGACCCTTCGCGTCCTTCCTGTTCAACAACCTGCACCCGGTGGCTGTTGCACGCATCATCCCCTTTCCTCCATCGAGCTCACGGAGTCACTCTCACCATCGGGTTGACGTCCACTCGTTGATTTAACGCGCGTATAGCGGCTGACGCCCGGCATCCGCGCACGCTTCAGCATCGTTTTCCTCAGCTAACTGCGATTTCCACTGATCGCGTGGCGCGATATGTCAATCACGATTAGGCGCATTCGCGAAACCATGTCAATGAAAGAGATTAAAAGAGAGATATTTGGATATTTCTGTCAATCTATTCCAATCAATATTTTCAAGAAAATATTTCTGAAAATGTGTTTACGATTTAAAACAATCGAAACGAGAGAAAAGTATATTTATTATTAAGTAGATTAATTATTGAAAATCGTGCATTTTTGAAAGAATTAGAAATTACTTTATTGATGATAAATGTGCTCAATGCGTTCGCTATGTAGATAATTCTGATTTAAAATGATTTTACTTTATGCACTTTGGATTTATCAGAATTAGTATCACTCAAGTAGGTCGAATTATTCTGTGCAGACTGCACCTCAAATATCCCATAATAGCACTGAAAATGGAATAACGACGAAAATATTAGTCTTTATGTCTGGAAAGTGATGTATATAAGCGCGGTGTGCGTGCGCGCAGCATGTAACTATGTTCCCGGGGCACTTCCTACTGATCATTTAACGAGTTGAATATTCAACTACAAGCCGTGTACTAGAGCGAGCACGTAAGCAGAGAAATGATGGGCGGGCGTATCTTGATCGTGATAATTCTCAAGTAATTGCCGCTAGGATAATAATTAACACTGAAAACATAAGACGTATTTCGCACCTGTATATCGTGCCATCCGTTAATAATTACCTTTGGTACTCGCTAGCATTATTTTTTATATAAACTACATGTAATTTTAATATAATTCTTTTTATCTATTCTTCAAATTTTGTCAAATTTATCAATTTCTAAAATAAATATGTTTATATTGATTTATTATACGATTGTACCTATAGATCATATTGATTCGAAATTTTTTATAATATTTGATTAAAAATGAAGTAAGATATTAAGTGAAATATTTTTTCTGCTGTTTCTAGCTTATGGTAATTTGGGGAGCATTCTCAGCGAACAGGGTCGAATAGCCGAAGCGGAGGAAGCGTTCGTCCAAGCTCTTCGCTATCGACCGAATATGGCAGATGTGCACTACAACCTGTAAGTACTACTTTCTAATTCTCTCATTCGTATTTTTTATAGAACGACATTTGTAACATATCAAACGTGTACCTGACAAATACGAGAATAACACGTTGGATATTTCGAGCTTTGAATTATTTTGAAAACTCCTAAAAAATTCTTGCTAGAGAGAAAATATATTTTTATGTAAAATGTCTCTCTATGTAAAATATACCATTAAAATATCGTCAAATACTTCTAATGGTGAAATTATTCTACGAAGTTTCTTAATAATAATTAAATAACTCAAAATTAAAGTAATTATTTTTAACATATAGATTTGCCGCTCCTCTTTAGGGATTTAAAACCTGTTAAGGATCTCTCTCTTTTTTGTAAACAGCAGTAATCGTTTGAATTTAGCCTACTATCGATGAATACATGCGAATGCTGGTAAGAGGATTACCAGGCAATCCCCATATTTGATCTACTAATTTTTCCCCGATTTTTTCTATCTACCGCGATACGGAATATATTTGTTCGCTCGTTTGGAAAAGGGGAAACCCGTTGAGACCCTTTGTTTACTACTACAACCATATCGAGGAATGGCCACGAGCTTCTTAAGTACGTAATATCGGTCAGCGTATATTCCTCTCGCGATCTTTTTCCACAACGCATCAACAACTTCGTATAGAGCTTACCGAGCACAGTCCCGAGAGAGTAACTGAAAGTCCCTGGGGTCCTTCGATCGGCGCTCATCATCTTTCGACGCTCTATCTACTAAAGGTGAGAAAGGACACGGCAGCCTGTCAAGCCATTGAGTCGATAAGCCTATCTATCCTGGGCATCCCTCTGCGCGCTTCTGATAAGCACGTACTACGCGCCACGTACTTGCCCCATTATGTATCTACCATAGACGTCTTAGTACGGTACTCCTACCGATTGAATTGAACGATCGATAGAAGATGGTGTACTAATCGATAGCAAAATTAGTGGTCAGAGACGAAATAATTTCAGGGCACGGAATAATTTCGAAGTAATTATTATATCTCGATATATGAGCATCGATTTTAGTATATTGAAATTATATAAAAATTTCTTCAGATTATTCAGGGCGAAAAATGATATACGATCGAGAGAGTCAAGTTCACGCTATTGATAATGAAATAATTTTGAAACAGAATAAATATAATATAAGATAACGTCCATTTAAACGTAATGAGAATGCTTTTGAGATACATTTAAAATAAAAACAGTATGTTATAAATATTTGTTGTAATAAATGCACAATAAATTTGAAATGGGTCTAATGTAAAAAAAACGAGATTTCAAAAATAGAAAGGTTTTAAATGTGCTTAATATAAAAAGGTGTGCATAAAGATAATAAAACGAGATAAACGGTATCAGGTCAGTGTTCGGAGCAGAAAATTCCGTATATATTATTTATTCAAACAAATCTCCCGTCAGTGCCAGTGCTGTGGATATAAAAAAAAATCTTTTTTTGAAGAAAAATAATTTGAAATTCTAGTAGTACTGGTATTAGCTTCGCGGCTATTCTTACTTATGGCTATTCTTAAAGCACCACGTAAATCGTTTCTTGAAATAGTGATTTAATTTCAGCAGTAAATCTTATGTGACATGTGATATCCTATCTTTTTTACTTTTATTTTTGCTATATGATCCATGAATATATATATTATATTGAATTTTGATAAAAATATTTAAGAGAATTTGCTCTCTCTCTCTCTCTCTCTCTCTCTTTCTGATAATACTTGTATTATTTTACAATTATTTATTATCATTTTAACTGGGACAAGTTAAAAAAATTTATGAAATATATGCGCCTGTATGTGAAATCGTATTTACTTCGTTAAGTAATTACTATACACACGACTTCAACATGCTGAACCAGCGTACACTGAGGCTACAAGCGGTTACAAGCAAATTCCGGTGAAACCGCTCGTCCGTTCAGATAAGCCACACCCGACGTTTGTCCCTTTTCGTGGCACTGACGGTAATACCTCCAGGATCAGCTTTTAGAGTGAAATGAAGCGCGATGTAATTACCTATCACTAAATTCTTAAAAAAGTTTGCTAATGTCATCAAAATTTCAGACATAATACGTCATATTATCGATCTGCGACTAGATATTGAAAATCAAGGCGGTGATTATAAAACATCGTTATAATTCGGTGAAGACTTGTAGAAGACATTTTACTATATTTTCGAAAGCAAAATTACAATTGTAAATTTATGTCCTTCGTTATTTGAATGCTTTCTTTCTATCCTCGACTTATTCATGATCGAGCTCCAAACAAAAATGACGAGTCGCTTGATCACTTTCCGGTTATTATCCTTCCTGATGATGTACGGTGCGCAATTATCACCCGACATACGTTATCGATACGAATCAATAGCCCGGGAAATTTCCGTTTACGTCTCTCCGTCATCATCCTCGGAAGAAAAAGACGGTTAATAAGAAAGCGACGTATATCGCTCTCGTGCTCCTCGCGTTCCCGCGTTTTCCCCTCCGGTCGTTTTACTTTCTTCCGCGGAAATTTACGAGCAGATCAGATATATCGCAGGATATTACAGCCTGGATGCTATAAAGGAAATATAAAGTCCACTTCGTGCTTCATGATTTTCTCTGATATATTAAATCTTCTCTATTTTACTTTTATTGTTCTTTATATACGTATATATAATATTATATACATTGCCCTTCGTCTTCGAACTGTAGTTTGATTTTTCCGTTGCTCTCGCGTATCGAAGAAAACTTTTCGACCAATCGGATAAACCGCACTTTCTTCAACGTCGATCTCAGTTCCGGCGATAGATCGATTTTCGCGACATGCTCGACATCGACGAGCGCGCTTGTTCACGTCATGGCAACGAGATAGCGACGGGCGATTTTGCGCCTACCGTGCGTCTCTCCTTTACCTAGGTCAACTTCTAAGAAGACTGATGACAGACCTCTCCCTCCATCTCCCCTCCATCCCGAGTAGCGACGACGGATGTTGATTTATTAAAACCCCGGCGTGATCGTAAGTCATCCATCAGCGGTTGCCGGTGAATGGAAAATTGATTAGTCTTCGCCGCGTGTTAGGAAAACCGTGAGGGAGCAAAAAACTCTCCCCGAGCGGGTATCCGAAGAATACATTGTAATTATGTATTACTCTGTTACTCTTGTCGGTAGGCGGTACTTAATTAGCCATACCCCTCCTCTCGATTCCCCATTGTTATCACAACGTGGTGGTTTGATGATGCGGAGACTGGGCGCGCGAAAAAATGGACTAAAAAAACTGAGTCTGCACGGAGCAGCGAGCAAATAAGATGAGCAGGATAATTAGTAATTGTAGTGAAGCCACGATTTCTCTCAATCTTGTGCAAATATGAAACGCCATTTATCTACTGACGCTTTTACTGCGACACAAGTAAATCGTTCTTCTTATTAGGCGCGTCATAAAGTGGACGAGGTAAACGTTTAATGCGGACGATATTAAGTAGTACAAAAACTAGTCGCAGAAACTAAATTAAATTATCTAAGTTCTGTAGTCATCGTTAGCAATAATTACGACAATAATTCCGTATAGCAATCATCTAAGATGCTCTCTGCCGCTAAAATGGCTAACCAAATTAGCTCACGACGCGCTTTGCTGCGAAACGGGAAGTTGATTCCCGGCGGTCGTTCAGCGGAAAATGGAATCGGTTGATTCGAGGTGGGAATTGACACCGCGTCAAAGAGAGTTCTTCCTCTCCCTCTCCCTCTCTCTCTCTCTCTCTCTCTCTCTCCCTCTCTCTCTCACTCTCTCGAGGCTTAATTGTCGTCGTCGCGACGCTCGGGGCGCCTCGTCGCCGTACCAGGTAAGCATGCGCAGTTATACAGTGCATTGACGTGTAAAATGGCACGGGGATGCGGATGCATCAGAGAGAGAGAGAGAGAGAGAGAGAGAGAGAGAGGGAGAGAGAGGGAGAGAGGGAGAGGGAGAGAGGGAGAGAGGGAGAGAGGGAGAGACAGAGAGAGAAAAGCGGAACCGCGTCAAAGAGCCCGTTGAATGCGTCATCGCGCAGACAGGTGAGGAGGCTTTCTGTATGTATCGCGAGAGAGATGACAAATTGTCGCGAGCGAAGGAGAAAACGGACCACGGAGATACGGAATCTCGCAAGCCTGAATCCGGAGATTAATTCAAAATTAATTCAATTGATTATTTTAATCAGAATTGTGAGTCAAAGGCGCGCTTGGAAGAGCTCGCTAATTTCGTCTCGCTGCGTTGTCACTCCTAACGGAGACAATGAATGCCGTTAAAACGAGACGCGATGCATTGTTTTTCGATATCGTGATTGTAATTGGACTGTTGGATGATATAAATCATATTTTCTTTGTTTTCAGAAACAAAACGATTTACGAAAGAACTTGTTGCACAATATAACTACTTTACCGTTTTTTCTACGATTCAAAGGAAACGATTGAAAATTTTATGTAGAAATAATTACGTATTATGTTGCCTAAAATGTGTATGGCTGATTAATTATTAACATACACCGCTATTTCGCATAGCGACTCGATTGTTCCGCAAATTTGCTCTTCCGTCCAAAAATGTACGGTGGAATAGCGCGACACAAAGCGAACATTATAAATTCACGATTATAAGAGGAGTGTCATGTCGGCGCGGAATTTGCAGGTCTGTGGATAAAGCTCTGCGATGATATTCGCTGTCACGAAACATGAACGCGTGTGTCCTCGAACATGTTCTGTTCACATCGCTCGCACGTAGCTACAACAGATCAATAATTATAATTTTGTTTAGTCGCCGTAATATTGTGATGCTGCAAAGTGGATTTGTATCGTAATTCCCAAACTCTCGTCAGATGTAAAACCGTATCGGAAATAAGCGATATGAAATTGGGACGTGCCATTTAGCTGCCTAGCGGGACCATACGCATTAAACCTCTTTGCACATACCGCTGCACTGTAATGCAGCTGATACACAGCAGAGTCGGTGTATCATCTCGATAATGGACCGATTTCTAGGTCGGGCCAC